TATATATATATATATATATATATATATATATATATATATATATATATATATATATATATATATATATATATCACTACAAAAAACGGTCCTAATTGCGGGGGTTATTTTTAAGATTTGCGGGGGTTTTATGTTGTTGCGGCAATCATTAAACCCCCCACAATAAGGGTCGTCGCAATCGAGTTGCGGCAGTTTTTTGCTAACCGCCAGAACTAAGTAGCGGAGGTTACTTCGCGGCGGTTGACCCCCGCAGATCTCAAAGTTAAATCTTTTTAAAATAATTTTCAGTTACGAATCGCAGCGGTTTTAAACCTCCGCAATATAACTTTTTTTTAGCATATATTTATAGCTCCTGTCAGTCATAACCTCAATAATTTATTGAATTTTTTAATTCATATATTATTGACAAATTACAAATTAAGCTGTAAATCATAATCAAAGCTAAAAAAATTATTTTAAAGTTAAAAGATATCAATAACATATCATAAAATCACAAAACGTTATCATAAAATATCATTAGTCTTTAAAACTAAATTGTCAACATTAAGTAGCATCACTCAAAAACTATTTTAAACACAAAATATTCACCCCAATATTCTAACATCTGCTTCAACCACACAATTACATTGTCACAATTAATGATCTAAATGCAATTGCAATGAAATCAACGGTTTCCACTAGAATTACTATCACCGCATGATCTTCTTGCGTCCATTGGTGAAAGGGGTCCACAGTCCGCATCACTTGGCTGCATAAAAAAACAAAGTATAAAAATTATGCCAGAATCAGAAATTACAGTAACTCTAGGTTCTACTAAATACTGTAAGCAAATAAGTGTAACTCTTCAAGCTTCCTTTGTACTTAAAACTCAAATTTAGATCAACACTGCAGCCCTTTTTTTTTATTGGCCGGAGAAAAAAGATATTTGTGCATCCCATTAGAAAGTGAGACTAACTCATGCAAGAATCAGAAAGAAAAATATAATAGAGAGAGAGGAGTTATTCAAAGAAAACAAATACAACATACAAGAATAGTACACTTTGCTCAGTTGCTGCCGCACACGACTGTGGTTCTTTCTCTTCAGAAACTCTGTTTGGTCTAAGGAAACTCTGAAAGGATGGGTCGTGTACGCACCAAGACAGTGAAGAAGTCATCTCGACAGGTAATTGAGAAGTACTACTCCAAAATGACTTTGGATTTCCACACAAACAAGAAGATCCTGGAGGAAGTTGCCATAATTCCTTCCAAGCGTCTCCGCAACAAGATTGCTGGTTTCTCCACCCATCTCATGAAACGTATCCAGAAGGGACCTGCTCGAGATATCTCCATGAAACTGCAGGAGGAGCGTGAGAGACGTATGGACTTTGTTCCTCATGAGTCTGCCATCAAAATTGATCTCATGAAGTTGACAAGCAGACCCTTGACATGCTTTCAGCCCTCGGCATGTCTGATCTTCCTGGTGTTGTCAAGCAAGCTGCTGAGCCACAGCCAGTAGCAGCTCTTCCAAGTATGGTCGCGGTGCAGGAGGTTTTGGTAGGAAATACTAGTAAGAGTATTTTCATAGATTTGATGGACAATTGAAGAAGTTTTTGGTAGATTAAATGTGTTAGGTTTCCCTGATGTTCTTTGAGGATTCGTAAAAGCTTATAATTCCGTTGTTGAGACATAATGTTAGCAATCCTTTTGGTTCTAAGCACCATGTGATATATTTCCTCAATTACATAAATTTTGCTGCAGTAGAATGTGATCACTACATTATCCTTAGATTTTAATTTCATATTGTTGCAGGGTGTTCGGTGTGCCTAATGTTCTAGGGTTCATATGTTTCTCAATGCTTCTGCTGTTTAATTTCTTCAGGATTATAATGTTATATATCACTTTTAATCAAAAAAAACATACAAGAATAGTACTAATCTAAGACACTTTATCTTTGCAACTAAACAAATTAAAGTGAAAAAATTGAAGAACTTTACTTACCGTTGCAGGAGAAACCGTCGAAGGAGAAGCAAAGAACCCCGCAAACTGTTCTGGTATAGTCCCTTCTTTCATTATCATATATGCCTTGAAAACGTTCATCATTTGATTGTGAGCATTCATCATTTGATTATGGTTATATTGACATTGGGACGAACATGAACCTTCAGTACTTGAAGTACAATCATTGTTTTTGGTCCCTTTTTGAATTTTGACTTGGTCATCCAATTAAATTCCATTGTTAATATTGAGTGGCAGTTGTCAACTCACCTGCTCATATTTAGCTCAAACACAATGTCCATATTTAGCTCAAACACAATGTTCATATTTAGCTCAAACACGTCTTAGCTCTCTCATTTCTACTTCCAGAGCCCGGTCCAGAAACTAAACTGGTCGAGAATTTAATCCGGTTTATAAGCCTTCTATTGGAATGGATACTAAATTAGTTCAGCAAAGGCTTAGTCATAAACCTTGCATCACCAAAAATACAGCTTATTCTTCTTCTAAGTAAAGACCAAGAACAACAAATAACATTACAAATTAAAGAAAACCAAAGTAGAGTATGAAAAGAGAGAACATGCCTTTCTTGAAAAACGCCCCCCTCCCCCACCAATATTTCTTTGAGATTGGAATTCAAAGGAAACTCAAGTGGAAAGGTAGAAAATGCCACCAAATTCACTATATAGTTGTTGAATTTTTCAAAGATAAGACAAGCATGCAGGGAAAACCTGATAAGTACTGCAATTGCATCACAAAATTGAAAGTAACCAACTTTCACGTAAGGTCTGAAGGGACTTAGAGGGACTGCTGAATATGTACTAATAGTCAAAAATATTTACCTATTGCTTCTACAGTCCAATGGCTCCCAGAACGCTTTCTAGATGAGGCCTGAACTGTTGGACCTCGCTGTGATGAGTCCTGAACTGTTGGACCTCGCTGTGATGAGTCCTGATCTGTTGGAGTCGAGTGAACTGATCGAGATGGCTGTGATGCGGCCTGATCCATTGGAGCTGGATGATCCATTAGAGCTGGATGGGATGTTAAGTGAACTGATTGAGACGGCTGTGATGCCGGCTGAAATGTTGGAGCCGCCTGCGATGTGGGCTGAAATGATGGGGCCAGATGTGTTGTGGCCAAAATTGACGTGGTCGGATGTGTTGGCATGCATGGCGTTGATTCAGTACCTTGTGAAGTAGATGCTGACTTATCTGAATTTTGCTTTTTCAGCAAACGCTTGAACCTTGGCATATCTGCAATTCCCTAAAGACTACTCACACAAGAAGGCTACCTTAATATTAGCAAATACAACAACACCATGAAGGATTGCATAGTCTATAAGGATAAAACTGCATACCACAATACCAAGTTAACAAAATATAGCTCATGAAAACAGTAGTAGCTGAGAAATATAAAAAATAAGAATCCAATATGGTTAAAAAGTAAACATTCAAAGAAATGTTTGAACATGTTAGATCCACATTATAATAGCTTATCAAACACGTACCGAATTCAACGCAAAACCCGAGCAACAAACAATCACAAAACTTTCATCATAAAGAATAAATATCACTTTCTTAGCCAAAAGATAGTAGGTTTTGAAGAAAAAAAACACTAATCAAACTATCCTAATCAAGCAACAAAAGATTGTCCAAATTCTTGTTGCAATTGCAATTTGGATATTTTATTATATCTATTCAGTCATATGCTCCTCTATTGCAAGTTGGATATTCTCGTAATCAACATCAAAAAAATGTCCAAATTCTTGTTGTTGGTATGGCTCATTCTTGTTGTTGGTTCACGGTCTTTACTGCTCTCCTTCTCGGGCTTCCATCTGGAAGTGTGACAATACTTGCGTGCTTCTGCATTAACATCATCCTCCCAGTATAACATGCAATCATTTGGACAAGCATCTATCTTGATATAATCAAGACACAACTTACTGATGGTCTTCTTGGCTTCATAAAAAGAATGAGGAATCTTTGCAAATTTAAATGCATCTCTGAGTAGATCTAGTATCATAGTTATTCCCTTGTCACTTAATCCAGACAAACACTTTATGTGATAAAGCTTTAACAAAAATTCCAACTTTGAGTACTTAGACCCTTCATATAATTCTTGACGTCCATCTCTAAGCAACTCAAAAAAATCCTTGTTATTTGAAGTGGGCATATCATGTATCATTTCTTCTTCTCCGACTACTTGTGACGGACCTACATCAACACCCTCATGCCTTAAGCCCCCTAATGCTTCATTAATGAACAATTCTACATGATTTTCAACGGGTGGTGCATCTTGAATGACCTCCATATTTTCAGAATTATGCAATACATTCATTTCCCCATGCATAACCCAAGTGACATAATGTTGAGGGAACGGCTTATCGATCAAATGATCAAACGCTACATTTCTAGTCTGCCACTTCCTACAACCACATTTAGGACATGGACATTTTATTTTATCTCCTATAGCTCCATTGTTAAATGCAAAATCTAGAAATTGATTCAAACCAAGCAAATACCCTGGTGTGTTCCTTGGCATTCCAATCCAAGATTTATCCATTGGAAGTTAGATTATTGTGCAATAATATAACCTATAAGATTTCATGAGGAAGAAAATTAGTAGTCTATTAGCACAAGAAAACAGAACAGAAAATGAAAAAATTAGTTAATTCTAATAGAGAACATACATAACCAAATATCTTAAGAAAAGATAATTGTGATTTTCATGAAGTACCGGTAGATTTGAGATTAAGAAACAAAGTAAATAAATTTGCAATTCTTCTGCCTATTCTAATCTCTCTTTATTCTTCTAATTTGTTTTAGAGGATTTTAGGTTAAGAAGTAGAGTAAATTTCAATAGTGAGGGGGAGAGAGGAGACAATATAAAACTAAATACACTAGGTACTACAATGAATGCCTTTTTTTTATATAAAAGGTACTACAATGAAGGTTAGAGCAATGAGATAAATGTCAAATATCATGAAAAAGTTCAACAATATTTAATGACTTTGCAAATTAGGTGCACTATGAGCCTGATATAAGCGGATCCAAAAAAAGGTCGGACCACAAGGGTTTATTGTACGCAGCCTTAAAACCCACAAAATGCAACTAAATTACACCTTCATAAGATGCAAAAACCGAATTCAACTTTCTTTCAAGAACCACTGTAATTCAAAATCTGCAAACTAAAGCACATTTGCACAAGAAAAATATAACCGAAAAGCTGCCATGAATAATATATTTCTACCACAGTACATTTCCAACTTAGCGCAGACAATTTAATCTTCATTTAAAAATGACATCAAGCTGCCAAAATACCAACAAAAGGAACATGTTGGTATTTGCTCAAGTTTGTTTCTTTTTCTGCATTTTAGTAGTAAAGTTTGGTTAACATCGTAGCTAGCAAGGAATAATGTATTCAAGCGTGCCACACTTCAAAGTTAACCTTTTCCTCCCTAAACTTTTTGTTTGGTGCAAGAATGCATTTACAAGAATTTGGTGTCTTCTCATGACAGTTGTCATCTTTTGTATACAGCGATATATCATACAACAATTTCACGCCAACAACTACTACAGTATCCAAAAAAGCAGCAAAAATAATGTACTTGATGAATTGGAGTCCAACATAGATTGCCAACACTTACCAACAATAAAAGACTAGATAAAAAACATTATTTCCTGAAATTCTAGAACTGGAGTCCAACATAGATTGCCATGTGTTTTCCAACGAAATGAACCAAAAGGGTTCAACAGCATACAAGTATTCATGCAAGAATTGTAGTTTCGTTTGATGAGCAAATATTGGTCCTACAGTTTTGTATAAACATAGGCAGTTCCAAAATAGAAGATAAAGTAACTTATTCCCATAACTGAAATATTGCTGGTTTAAAAGTGTTCCTAGCTTTACCTTTCCGCAATAGGATACTGAAAATGTATCCTGCATTATAGGAAAAATGTTTATATACTAGGTAGTACACCCCAAACAATTAAATAGAACAGTTTATTTGGAACTGTTGAAATAACTAGAATTAGGGCATGGATTGACGAAGATGCAAAGATAAAAAGAATGGACAAGCAAAAGATATGTGACTAGAGATACAGATGCGTTAAACAGAATGAAGGAATAGGCAGTTTCTGATTCATCATTCATCAAGTACAGTAGTCAGGCAAATACCCGAGCAACCAACCGAAAAGAGGAAAGCTTAAAAATCTATTTGACAAGGGGAGTGATTATACAAACAAAAAAATCTCTAATAAACAGAGAAAATCCAAATCTAACATACAGTATCCAAAAAAGCAGCAAAAATAAAATTAAAGCCACATGAAATAGAAAACATACAAAAATTACTGATTATACAAACCCAAAAATAGGGAAGATGAAAGACCCATTTGTAGAAATAACATTGCACTAATCCAAAAATAGGGTAGAAGAACTTACTGTAATTGAAGATACTTGTCGATTACTATGCCCGAGTGAGTGATTGAGATGTCTTTGCCACTGCTATAGGGCGAAAACGCGAGGAAAATCAAAGAAAAAAGAGGGGAAAACGAGGATTTGAGTTCAAATCTTACAAATGGAATGAGAAATTCACACAAAACTTTCAATTCTAAGAAAAATAAAGTAGAAAGAATCATGAAATTTGAGTTAATCTCTTAAAATTGAGACCTTTACCTTGAGTCTGTGGAAAAACGTTAGTGAGAAGTGGCGGAGCTTTTGAGGTTTTGTTATATTTGTATTTTTTTCAAGAGTAAAAAATGAACGAAGCAAAAATAAGCGTGGGAAATATTAGCGCCCTATTTTATTTGCAGATGGCGTAGGTTTAGAGCCGCCGCTATTTGCTTATAATTGTGTCAGTTAAGTAAACCCCTGCTATTTAATGAAATTTGTGGGGGTTGGAGCTGACCCCCGCTATTAAACCGCCGCAAATTAGGCCGGTTTTTTGTAGTGTATATATATATATACATATATATATATATTGAATTGTTGAATACAAATACGAGGTATAATTCAAAGCTATTGAACTGTAACTTGTACTGTAGATCCCCTACCTATTGTGAATGACTACGACTGCACAACACCAATAAAGCAATACCAATTGTGACCTTTTAGATAAGTACACACAATTCTGTCCCAAGTAAAGATAGTTCTTTACCCTTAATAATCCAACGTGAGTACTTAAAAAAAGAATCATGTCTTCGATAGCTCTATTCTATTAGCTGTAGCACGAAATGCAGGCATGTGGACCAAATTGGCCACAGTTGCACAAGAACAAACCCTTACTGCTCTTGCATGTGGATAACTACCACTGAGGCGGATATAGCTACAAAGTATCGATTTATCTATAAAAACCTACTAAAATCTTAATAATATTAGGTTTGAATTCGTAATATTAACAATATAATAAGTTTATTGTACAATTGAACCCATTAAATAATTTAAATCTTAAATTCGGCTTTACATTCAGTCCTATCGACAGAGATGAGACTTTCCCTTTTATTTGACATTTATTCTTATAGTTTCTCAAAGTGCAAAATGACTTTTATAATAATTTTATTTTATAGTAAAAACATTCAAATAAATTAGTTGTTGATCTTACGTAACATTTTAAAGAATTTTAGTTTTGGAAAAAGAAAATCAACTGAGACAGCAAAACTGTTAGAATTATTCCATAATAAACTAAATATTTTTAAAAAGTATTAAGACTTTCTACATGATTAATTATACCAATTAGACTATTACATGTTACTCGTATAATTTTTCTTAGCACTTTTAATTCCGAAATTTAGTTGAAACAATTAAATATTATAGTGACTTTTGTGCTTTATGAAATATTTAAGGTTAAAATAGTACATTTTTTTATATTTTGATCATTTATTGTAATCTAATTAGTTTTAAAATATCTACAAAAGCACTCAAAGAATGGAAACTTCGTAATCATTTCATCTTCAAGAGACATCTACCCACCCCAACCACCCAGCAATTGCTCTCACAAGCAGTTGAATATCACCACCTTATTCAAAAGCAATCGAAGACACCTTCTCCTACACACTTGTATGTCAAGTGGCACCCTTTACCTATGGTCATCATCAAATTAAATACTGATGGATCCACAGAAGGCAGTCCATCAAAAAACGATATAGGCGGAGTATTTGTGATGACTCGAAAGGTCATCTTGTGTTTTAGAACCTAAATCGGTGTTCCGAGGCCTTTAAAACTTCATTTTGTTCTTTCTTAATTTACGTGCACAGTCCGAGCGCATTTTCGGAAAGCCTTTATGTGGAAATTTGAGAAAAATAATAAATTTTGGCTTAAAAACTTAATTTTAGCTGACTTCAGTCAACGTTTTGGGTAAACGGACATGGACCCGTGTTTTGCCGGTCCTGATGGGTCCGTAAAAAAATATGGGACCTGCGCGTATGCCCGGAATCAAATTCCGGGGTCCCTAGCCCGAGAAATAAATTTTTGAAGAATATAAAATGTAGAAAATATAATAATTTAAAGAATTAGATCTTGTTGGTATCGGGCCATATTTTGGTTTTGGAACCCAGTACATGTCCGTTATGCTATTTATACCTTATCTGTGAAATTTGGTGAGAAACGGGACTGATTTGACGTGATTCGGACCTTTAGTTGAAAAGTTTGAAGTTTTAATACTCTCTTGAAGATTACATTCAATTTGGTGTTAAATTCGTAGTTCTAGGTGTTATTTTGGCGATTTGATCGCCCGAGCAAGTTCATATGATGTGTTAAGACTTGTGTGCTTGTTTGGTTTGGAGCCCCGAGGGCTCGGATGAGTTTCAGATAGGCTACGGGATGTTTGGACTTAGAAAAAAAAATCTGGTGTTGGATACTTGCAGAGTTGCAGGTCTCAGATCTTAGAAGTGCGGCCGCGGTGAGAAATTCGTGGACCGCGGTAGAGGAACACGGACACGGTGGGAACTTCACGGACCGCGGTGGAGATTTCGGCTGCCGCGATTGGGATTTCGCAGACCGCGTAGTGAGTATTAGAGGGTGCTATATAAGCGGGATTTTTCATTCATTCTTCAATTTTACAAACCCTAAAACATAAGAGGAGATTTTCCAAATACTTGTTCTTCCCCAAATCATAAGTAAGTGACTCTTAACTCATTTCTTTCACTCTTTTACTTCTTTTTACAAGATTTCAACCTAGAATCTAGGATTTTTATGGTGGAATTGGGGATTTTTGGATGGAACTTAAGAATTTTGAAATTTGGGGATTTAGACCTCAAATTGAGGTCGGATCCCAAAACCAATTGTATATCTGGGCTCGGGGGTAAATTGGTAATCGGGTTTTTTCGAGTTTCGGGTTTGGACCAAGCGGGCCCGGGTGTTGACTTTTTCCAAAATGGCCTAAACTGAATTCCTTGCAATAGTGGGTAGTTCATATGGCTTAAATTGAATAGTTTGGTTGGTAATTTGCTAGATTCTATGGATCCGGAGGCTCGTGAGAAGGTAAAAACGGTGTTTGAGCTTTGAGTTTGGCCGTGGTAGCGAGCTAAGTGTTGTGGCTAACGTTAGCTTGAGGGATTATGTATTGTTGTCTATTTGCTATGTGTTTGGTTGTTGAGTACAATGTATAGGTGAGGTGACGAGTACCTATACGTTGTTGTCGGGTCATAGCATGCGAGTGAGTCTTATTCTTGTGATTGTCGTATTCTTTATTCGTATTATTCATGCTTAAACTGGTTATTCTTCATGTTGAGCAATTCTTATCATGTTTCCTGGAATTTGGTATTAGTTGAGTACGGACACAAGTTGAGACTGACATTGTGAAGCTAAATATTGAATGAGGCTTGTTATTAATAATTCCCTTGCTGGGTTGTTATTATTTTGTTGTTGGGTGAGAAAGAGTGTAAAGCATGAAGGGTGATGTCGTGCCATTGCATATTTGTTATCATGTAAGGAAGAGTGTAAAGCACGAAGGGTGATGTCGTGTCATTGCATATTTATTTTCATGTGAGGAAGAGTGTAAAGCACGAAGGGTGATGCCATGCCATTTTATATTCATTATTATTGTTCTTTTCATTTGTTATGGTGAGGATGAGAGTAAAAGCACGAAGGGTGATGCCGTGCACTTGTTTCGATGTGTTTCTTTACTGTTCTATTCTCATGGTTTCGTACTCCCCTCAGCATGTTTTCCCCCTCCCATTATTATGTGTTTAGTTTCTGTTATCTTTTATTATGCTCGTATATTGCTTAACTGCACAGATATTTGTCTTAGCCTCGTCACTACTTTACCGAGGTTAGGCTCGGCACTTACCAGTACATGGGGTCGGTTGTACTGATTCTGTGCTCTGCACTTTCTGTGCAGATTTCGGTACCGGACCGTGCTGACCCGAGTGAGCTGCTGCCTTCAGTCCAACAGGAGATCCAAGGTAGATCTGTCGGCGTTCGCAGACCCTGGAGTCCCCTTCCAGTTATCCTAGTTTCCTGTTTTCTTTTACTTCAAGAACAGTTGTATTTTGTATTTTCTTTCAGCCAGTACTTGTAGTGACTCTTAGAAGTTCGTGGATTGTGACACCAGATTTTGGGTGGTCGTGTATTAGTACTTGAGATATTATAAATTCTACATTTCTTTACTCTGTTTTGGTATAATTGCTGCCATTTATTGAATTTGTTAGTGTTGGCATATTTAAATCTCTATCTGTTGGCTTGCCTAGCATTCTGAAAGGTTAGGCGCCATCATGATCCCGAGGGTGGGAAATCTGGGTCGTGACAAGTTGTTATCAAAGCGCTAGGTTGCTTAGGTTTCACAATTCATGACCAAGCTAGGTAGAGTTTGAGGGATCGGTACGGAGACGTCTGTGTTTATCCCTTGAGGCTATAGAGTTTAGGAACAATTTCACTTCTATTCTTCTTTGTCGTGCGATTTGATCTCCTAATGCTAATAGAACTCTCTACTCATGTTCTTTCGCAGATGGCGAGAACACATACCGCTTCATCAGCTGATCAGCAGCCCGAGCCCCAGTAGCAGCTCCTACGAGGGGCAAAGGACGAGACCGAAGCCCTGCTAGAGGCCGAGGCAGGGGCAGGGCTCAGCCTAGAGCTCGAGCAGCAGCACCAGTAGCGGATCCTCAGGTGGAGTTTGATGATGAGGTCCCGGCCCAGACAGTTCCTGCTGGACCAGCTCAGGTTCCAGAGGGGTTCATAGCCACCCCAGTGCTTCAGTATGCTTTGGTCCATCTAGTGGGCTTTATTGAGAGTGTTACTCAGGCTGGCACATCCCTTGTAGCTCCAGCTATCTCTCGGGCTGGGGGAGGAGCATAGACTCACGCTACTCACATTCCGGAGCAGATGGCTCCTCAATTTCAGACTCTAGTAGCTCAGCCAGTTGGGGTAGTTCCGCCGGGTGTTGCAGCACAGACCGGTGATGGATCAACTATGTCTTCTGATGCTTTGTGGAGATTAGATATGTTTACCAAGCTTTTCACCACTACCTATAGCGGTACATCTTTAGAGGATTCCCAGGACTATCTGGATGGTTGTCACGAGGTGTTATGGAACATGGGGATAGTGGAGACCAATGGGATCGACATTGCTGCCTTTCGTCTGTCGGGTTCCGCCAAGAAATGGTGGAGGGCTTTTTGTTTGGCCAAACCAGCCGGGTCGCCTACTTTGACTTGAGATCAGTTCTCTTAGCTATTTCTCAAGAAGTTCCTTCCTATTACTCTGAGTGAGGACTATCACAGGCAGTTCGAGCGTCTCCAGCATGGCAGCATATCCGTTACTCAGTACGAGACCCGCTTCATTAATTTGGCCCGTCATGTTCTTCTTATACTCCTACGGAGAGGGACAGGGTGAGGAGGTTTATTAAGGGACTTGCTCAGCCTAT